TAACTTTAAATTGCATTTGCTGTAGAAATCAATGAATACAATTATTACGTTATGGGCACTTCAGTTATAAACGCCCAAGAAAGTGAATAGAAAGTTTGTGACTGATTCACTAAGAGAATCAACTCATAAGAGTCATTTGTTTGTGACTGGAACTACACTGTTTGTGCTTTGTTTTTGATTCCCTAAAAGGAGTCATTCGTAAATCTGACTACAATGGTTCCTTTTAGCTTGCTGAAAAGTTTGATATCATTAACCAAGACCCAGATCCAGACCAAGATATATTACGTATTGTATACAATTATCTTAATTGTAATGGTTACTGTTATTCATACATTTTGTGCCCATACCTAATTTGTTGACAGATTAAAGCATTAATTTGGGATTGGATTGGCCGTATAGGATAAATAACAGTAGGCTGCGCTTTCGAAGGGCAGAGATCACATTTTTTTTGTATTAGTCACACTTGAAACACATTTGAGTCTGACTCTAAACACTCAGACATTCTTTCAGGTTTTGTTTGTATAACACTGTATGTGACAAGTCGGAGTGCATTGGAAGCATATATGTGCTGATATGCGAAGGGCATTTGTCGACATTAGCGCAGGGTGGTGTGGGTCGACATGTTAACTCAAGGCAGTGAGGCCCCTGCTTTCAGACTTGACAATGTTGTGAAAGTCTATCTTCCTCCATTGGCCTGACAAAATGGTTGAAATCAGCTATGTGTGTTATTATATGACATGTTCTCTCGTTTGTTTTTAGACAACCTGAACTGAATTGTCCTCAATCCCATCTGTATTATGATTAGTCGGGAGGCTTTTGGCTCAAAAAAGACTTTTACCTTTGGTGAAGAAAGAGATATAGAGAAGTAGTGAAGCAAATGTCATAAGAGATTAGCTTGGTGAACATTCCACAGAGGTTAGTCGGCCAAATAGAGTGAGGAAGCGACGAGAGAGAGAGAGAGAGAGAGAGAGAGAGAGAGAGAGAGAGGAACACAGAGTACAGAGTGATTTGTCAGCAAAGGGAAGGAGAGAGTACTAGCACTGTAAGCTAATATAACTAAAGTGAGCAAATTCTGAGTGCGGCCACGAATACGATATAGTTTCAAATGCTGATGCTGGATTTCAGCCTGCTCTCAATTTCAGGGCATCGTGTGGTTTATTTTGCTAGGTTTCAGACTAGCTGTGTGACCCAGGGGCCAGTGGGGGTGGCGTCTCTGAAACAACCATGGATTAGCAACGTAGGACCTTCCATGTTTGGATCAGACAGAAATGAATAGCGACATAAAAATTGATATAATCTCCAGACTATATATGGAGTATGTGAGGATGGAGATATATGTAATTGTAGATGTTGTATTTATGGAAATGGATTCACATGATCGAAACAGAGAGAGGCATAGGAGACGAGAGGGCATTAGACCACTCGTTTACACTTTTCTCATATGTTGTTTATGAAGCGTACTTTTAGATATCCGAGTCTTCTCTGTGCTAATTTAACACGACCACATTAAACTCTGTCCATCTCTGGTTATCTCTGTCTGGCTCTCTTTCTGTCTCCTATGAAAGCCCATGTCTCACTCCCTCAGTGTAAAAAAAATAAAAAAGTTAATTTGTGAGATATAAAGTCACAATCGCAAAGAAATACTGTTAGACTGTATGATTTCAAAGTTGTAATTTATTTATTTATCTATTTGTTTGATTTGAGGAGGAGGAAAGAGGCTTGCAAAAGGGCTTCCATATTATTTTTTATCCATGGATGTCCCTTTCAGAGAAAAAATTATATAAATGAGAGGGTTATTTTAATATTATTCATATACTATTATAAAATCATTAATATTTGGAATATACAGTTTTTTAATTTTAGTTTCTTTTTAGTCATTTTTATGGGCTTGTCATTGTTATGTGTATATATACTGTATATTTATATATATATATATTTGGCTTTCTATTTACTTTAGCTTTTAATACTTCATCTTAAACGTACTTATTTGAGTTAGTGGCCGAGGCAACATTTATTTATTTATTTTTTTTAAGAGTGCAAAACATATAACATACGCTGAACACAAAACACAAAAACAGCAGTAGAACAGCAATGATAATAACAGCAATGAAAATAAACAGCAATGACAATCTGAATAATAGTAGTAGTATTTAAGTAGTAGTAGCATGCATAATAATAATAATACTAAAGATGGTGATGATAACAATAATACCTTGTGATGACTGCAAGAGAAATATCAATAATAATAATAATAATGATGTAATAACAATAGTAATAATAATAATGTAATAATGACACATACCCAACACATACCACAGCTATAGCTTCTGTGTCAGTGTTCATGTTTTTTTGGGGGGGTTTTTTAGGCAACATTTCTAATGTTTGTTTATGTTTTTAGGTTTTTCTTAAAATAATTTTTTATTTAATGTCAATTTTACTTAAATGAAATACCAAAATAATTTTAATAGTTTTAGTTAACAATAATACTTCGTCATGCAAGCAGATCACCCAATTTGACCCTCAGAGCCGAGGCTAAGGCTGATGATACACAGGGCAATTTTTTGAGCAACATTGCCGGGCAACTTTAGTTAATGTTGCCATCAACAGGCAACCAGGTGAGACACAGGGCCCACAACCGATCTATCCAGATAGAAAATTGTTACCCATTCTGTAGCCCGGCAAAATTGCTCAAAAAGTTGCCCAGTGTTTTATCAGCTTAAAAGCCTTTAGGTTTTTCATAATATTATATTTTATTTTATTTCAACTTGACTTAAATTAATTGCCAAAATAATTGTAATAGTTTTAGTTAACAATCATAACGCTGCTGCTGTGAAGGTGGTTAAGTCTGCAGTACTGTACATCTCATCTGCATTAGTGTTTTAGCACTAGCATTCAGGCTACACTGGCCTCCATTTGACTTCTTACCTCACCTACACTTTTAGAACGTGTGTTTTTGTGTTGAGTGTGAGTGAGTGTCTGTTAGTGTTTAGCACTTTGACTGTGTGTAGCAGTGACAGGGACCAAGACTAGCAAGATGGAGAGAGTGCTGACGACTGGAAACCAGAGAAGAGCCAACAGTTGAGTTGAGCAGGAGATCAGGAGCCCTTAGAGAATTTAGGTAGAAAAAATATCATTAGGAAAAGTTATCTGTCTCAATATAGCACAGTGTTATTTTATTATTATTTATATACTGTAGTATTTAATAATATTTTGAAATATAATTTATTTTTATATTTTCAGTTTTTGTTTAAATGAAAAGTTTCAGTAATTTGTTTATGTGCTTTTTTCTTCTTTTTTTCAGTTTTAGGTGTAGTCATTTTAATACTTAAACATTTCATTTATCTGCCATGGAAGCATTTCTAATTTTCATTTAAGTTTTATATAATATTTATATTTTATTTCAGCTTTATTTGAAAAAAAAAATGCTTTTTTTGCTTAAAAATTATAACAGTGATATCACATCAGTAACACTTTGAGACACATTTTAAGATACTGCTTTTGCGAAACATAAATGAGTGAGTTAGATGCTCAAATCACCACCAGATTTCTCCTAACCGGCAAGATTTTCTTGATTTACCAAGGAAATAAAAGATGATTAATAGATGTTTACTTGAGCTCAACAGAAGAGAGCATGAGTATTATATTGGTTTCCATAGCAACAGCAAACCACATGCACAGCATTGCAGTGGTGTTAGCGATGGATTTAAGAGAACAGTGCCATTTTAATGAAACGCTGACTGGGTCCTACACCTCAGCAAAGATTTTTAATTACATTTTAGCCAAGCAAATTAACACTGCCAGGCCAATTCATCACGGGTAAGGTGAGAGCTGCTCAGAGCATTTGAGCATTTCCCAGTAGAGTTGTTACAGGTCCCTGTTTGTTTATAGTCGTGACCTTCAGCTGTCTGGTGAACCCGCTGCTCTGTCCTTTTTCGGGTGGACATCTTAGCCAGCTCCTTAGATCCTGAGGCAGGGGAAGCATTTATAAATTGCTGGATCGCCACATCCCGCTCCTCCTCTGGGACAAGGAGATACATCAGAAGTGCCTGAGGCCCATTAACATATTGCAATCTGAAAGACAAACCTAATCAAAAATAGACGTGTCGGTACTTCGGTATGCAAGCAGATCACTCAATCTGACCCTCAGGGCAGAGGCCAGGTGTGGTGTCTCATATCCGTAACACTAAATAGTGACGGTCCGACTACTCCTTCCAGGTCCAGAGCCAATTTGAAGCCAGGACTACGACTTGGAAGGTGACGGTGGTATGATGTAGCAAAGCTGTTTACACCTACTGTAGACCAGAGGAGAGGCTCGGATGCCTGCACTCCAAAATACTTTCAGGCCTTACTCCATATAATGATTTTATTATTATTTGTTTTTTATATGCAGTCTTGAAAATAGGTTAGGCCATCTCATAAGTGTTTTGTTATGCGCATATATAATCAGTGTTTATACATTTATTTATTGTTCTGATTCTGCTCTGAGTCATGTAGAATTTTTCACCCTTTACCTGCTCAGTTTCATGATTTACATATGTGTTTATATTGTATATTTTACATTTAGATGTATATACTGTATAGTTTACATTTCTGAACATTTCTTTTGCTATTAATTGTAATAACCCAGTGAGATTTTTGTATGCACAAGGAGTCAGTATGCTGTTGAAATATGCTTCAAGCATCTTGGAGACGTTATCACAGTTCTGGATTTTGTCTGTTTCTTCATGTGATTCCAGATGGACTGGTTGATGGTGAGATCAGATCTCTGTTGTCAGACTCCTTGTGCATAATGCATTATTACAATTAATAGCAAACGAAATGTAAACAGATATTTCCTACTGACACACTTTAAAGATAGAAATAACTGGTTTAAAACCATTTTTGTTGGTGAAAATATTAATGGCCTGAGACTTTTGCACTAATATGAGATAAACAGTTTTGACGTGTACTTTAACATGACCCCTTTTGAATGCTGTGATTATGAATTTAATTTGCTTCAGGTGCCAAGGGAGAAAAGGTGGAAGCTACACCTGCTGGTTTGTACTTGTATCTCTTTACTCTACTAAATGCTTATAATCTGTTTGATGAAATGAATCATTTAAAAGCAGTCAGACTCACTCTCGGTATGTCTTTTTTTCACAGATAAGCCTGCCGAAGGTGGGTCACCTGCTCTGAATCTTGTCATGAACGCCATTTGTCTTCATTCAGTCTGTCAAGGGTACAAGGGGTAGCTTTGCTTCTACAGATGAGCTTTGTGTGTGAGTGTGTGTGTGTTATGGTGGTTAGTCTGCGCTGTAAGGGGTTAGGATTAAGTGAGAGCTGTGCTATACATTCATTTAACCTGTTCTAATTCTCTAATTCATCTTTAAATATAGCAAATACATGAATCATACCTGAAACCAGCTAGTATTGAACCTAAAAGCATTTTTACATAATGACACAAACAGTATATGCAGTCCATTGCTTAGTTGAACAACAATGTAATTATTAATCATAACGCCATAATGCATAAAGCCTTAATAATATGGTTGTGTCACATCCCTGGACTTTTCTCTCATGTTTGATTGTGTCATTTAAATATAATTTATATACATACAATACTATTTCATTCAGACTAATTTGATTGGCATTACATTTATGACTTATTTACCATGACAGACATCACCTTGATGTCTTGCAACCATGTTTTATTTTAACCTCTTGGAATCTTTTTAGAAATGCGGTGACCATTTAAGAAGCCAAGGTTATGCGGTATACTGATACTCTGAAGTGGTTGTCCCTCTGAAAGTTTCACCATTGGAAATATCTGGATCTGTGTATGAGATCCAGCACTGAAGTGTGGACATTTAGCAACACGAGATTAGGACACCCAGAGCTGGACAAGCATTTTCACAGTGTACATGTTTAGTGGCTGACATTAGTGTTAAACTACTTCTACATCTATCTTATCTGGGTTATGTGTATCTGGGTAAATCATCTTCATAATATAGGATGGGTGGTTCTAAGCTTTATAGGAGAGTCCTATGCAAAACTATTTTGAATATAAGCCAAACTATGCATTGCACTGTGACGTTTCATCCTTGTTCAGTTTATCAAATTAACTTGCATAAACATAAAACAGAGTGAAGCTTTTGTTCTCTGGTTTTATGGAAATGCATGACATTATCTGGGCCTAATCCCACCACAAATAGTATTTGTAGCCAGTGTAGTCTTTAAAAAAGACACATCTTTTGGCTTGTTATATTGTCTGTTTCATATTTACTGTGACTTTTTCTATAGATATGTTATCTGATTCTGAAGGTGAGATGGAATAGAATGCAAAAATTGGTTTTAAAGGAGTCATATGATGCGATTTAAATTGTTCCTTTCTCTTTGGAGTGTTACAAGCTCTTGGTGCATAAAGAAGATCAGTAAAGCTGCAAAGACTAAAGTCTCAAATCCAAAGAGATATTCTTTATAAAAGTTAAGAGTCAACCACGCCTACCTAAAACAGCTCGTTCTAACACGCCCCCACATGTCTACGTCACGATGTGGGAAGATTTGCATAACGCCGCCCAAATGTTCACGCAAAGAAAGAAGGCGTAACATTTATTCTCGCTGTAGTATTGTTGTT